AAAAGCATAAAACTTTTTCGCAATAGCTACATTGTATTAAAGGAATATTAGTGCATTGATTTTCGTGGCAATCAAATCAGAAAAAAAGACACTAGTAGTATTGTATTCCTTTATATAGAGCTATATCAACACATAACAGAAGGCGCTAGTAAACAGATACACTCGTCTAATACGCGACACTAAAATAGTTTGTCCACATATAGTCAAACTTTCAGATCTCTTTGACTTATTTTGCTAATTTGTCATTTAAAAAATTTTTCATCTTGTATAAGGGTAAAAATAGGAAAACGTCGATAACTTTTGAAGGAATGAGATTGGGGAAAATCCCCTTTACGGTTTTTACTATCTCAATATACTCAACTAAATGAGATATGAATGAAGGAAAACGGGAGGTATCACCTCAGATGGTTCCCTCGTGAGTGATGCGTAGACTATGGGTGTTATCTTTAACCTTAATTAACGTTAACGCTGGAAAACCTAAAGTTAACGTGATAGCCTTAGCGTAGACTTAACCTCGACAAATGCAAATAGAAAGATAAAAGACTCCGTTTCTCGTACTAGTCCTCGTTTTGTTCCACTAGAATGTAGAAAACGTAAGCATTCGATTATTTTATTCTTCATTGATAAGGACCATTGTTGATTTACCAAGATCTTTTCCTTTCAATTTTGTCTCGTATCAACGATGCAATGCGCACATTCAATATATTCAAAGATCCCGAAAAGAAACGTCCACATGATTTAACTATTATTATATTTAATGATTATTTATATTTAACAACGTTTCTGTCTGAGATACATAATACTGATCTTATTTAAATATGACTTTATTTTTTTGACTTATGCTTCAAAAGAGTGCAGATTTATCTTTTTCATAAATAAATAAATTGTATACAACTCTAGACATTATCATTTAGTATGACATTCCTCACTCCTTCAGTGACCTATCCACTGTCGATACTCTAAAGCAGACTTACATTAGAGTTATTGATGTGTAATAAACGAAGTAAAAATAGGATTTTCACTTTTTCATTTCAGCTTTGTATAAAGTCATTTGAATATTTATTTATTCCGACATTTCAGAATTTTATATTTTCATTTGCAAGAAGTGTACAGATAGTATATTATGAACGCACAACAAAATGATTTTTCATTCCTATATATATGAAACAGACATGAAACGGAAAGAAGAAGAAGCAAGAAGAAATACGACATGGTTTTCTTTGAAAATTTGTAGCCTCATATATATGGAGAGACATTTTTCAATGTCGATTGACTCTATTAACTAACAAGAAATTGACGATATTTGAAAACAATTATTTGCCTTATTCCATCATTGAATTTGTTTATCATCGTCATCATCTTGACGATTCCAGTGTTGCTCTTCTCCAACAAACAATAGACAATAAACTAAACAACCAAATACACCAACACCAGCAGTTATATTAAATATGATTCTCCATGCATGTAATGTTTGCTAGAAATATGAATAAAGGCAGGCAAGTTATGTTGAATTAATTAACATAACGGGTACGGCAGAGGAAATTGCCGGTTTTTTGATAGGCTTTTTTCTCAAATTAGACTCGACCAGAAGGTTTGGTTCTGATGCTAAAAGATAGAGAATTTTGTGTAGATTTTATTGATATGTTCTTTTTTAAATAAGCATGTACCGTTCTTT